TATATATATATAAATTTAAGTTTTGTGAAATCTATAATTCTTTTAAAATTCATATATGGATGGATTTTAATTTTATATAAAATATAATTTAGTAAATTACTAATTTAATTTAAAAAATATATTTTGTTATACTAAATCTAAATATCTTATATAACTTTCAAGAGTTAATTAAATATTTTTCTCCATATAATCTTTTTCGGTGTATGTTATCACTTATCTAGCATCTCCATTTTTTTTATTTTATCGAATACCATTTATTAAATTTTGTCAACCCACAGCAATTTTTTTTTTCACAACGTGACACACATTTTATAATGATATTACTTATCACTAAAAATTACTTTTACTTATAATATATGCTGATATATTATTAAAATAATATAAATATAATTTATAGTAACACATAATATATGTTAAATTTTATTTAAAATTAATACTAAAATTGTGTGTAATTATATGTTAAATAGATTTATTCTTACACATATTATATTTATAATGACATTTCTTATATGTCACTGTATGTAACATTTTTTTGTAGTGATTATAATTTATCTAATTGTTAATACTAACAAATTTCTTTATGTATAAATTTTCAATTCATAATTTTAAATTTTGACACAGTATATTAATTTAGTAGTTGATTGACATAATTCATTTTAAAAAATTGTTGTTCAAATTTAAAGTTTTTATTTTAATTTAATGTATTTTTACACTATAAAATAAAGTATTCCTTATTAACAATGAGGACAGATCTTATTATGTTTCATTCTTTAATGATTCAAAAATGGTGATATTCTTAAAAAAATATTTTATATGTTATTTTATAAGTCCAATGAAATTATTAATTCTAGAAACAAACTTAGCACAAGCCATGCCAAAGTTAAATAACAATGAATGCATAATAAATGCAATTTTAATTTTATTTTTTAATTTTAAGTTTAATTAATTTAAAAATACCTAAAAAATTCACAAAAAAATGTTCATGCATATTAAAATTTTTATTCAATTATTGACTCCTTTTTCAACTCCTCCACTTATAATTTCATGTTAGTTCAAAATTTGAGTAAAGGCTAAGGATTGTGTTAGACAGTCAAAAGTCAGCATAAAACTTATATATATATATATATATATATATATTAGTATCTTAGTGTAATGTATAAACTAAATATTTATTAAATGAAATTAAAATTTGTAATAAATTATTTATAAATATTATATTTAAAAATTTTATAAATAAATATTTTTAAACATATAAATTATATTTTAAATTTATGATAAATAATTTATATTATAGTACAATATTATTTTGATTTACTGATAATTTATTTTAAAATATTAAAATTTAATTTATAAACAATTATGATAAATAAAAGTTGAATTATATAAAAAAGTTAAATATTTATTTAATATATAGGAATAATATGGTCATGCAACGCGTGTAGATGAGTCGTATGATAAGATATAATCAAAACAAATTCATATGGCCGCGACAGAAAAAGAAAACCTGAACTCTTCCCTCAGAATTCCATGATGTTTTCCCATGACGCACCACCACAATCTCAGCATAATCTGCATGAGAATTGCTACAACAGCAACATCTTACCAATTATTATCATGAGCCATATATGATCATGAGGATGACTGATAAGGAAATAGAGGAAAGAGAGAGGGAAGGAACCTGGGAAGGGAATCGGTGATGGAAGACTCGGCCATTAATTCTGAGTCACAAAGCTTTTAAAATTTGAAACACAAAGATAATGGTAACACGAGCAAAAATAATGAGTTATATATGTAACGTTTATGTCATTATTCATTAATGTTCTTCACACTCATACTGTGTTTTCCTCGTTGCTTCGCTTATGCCATTGCTAATACTTTAATTTCCTCGTGTTTCACTGCATATAATATGCTACTTTTCTTGGGTTGACGCCTCACTAATATGACCTGGTTTTTGTTTTCATATCATATTTTCTTTTTCAGTTCCTCGTTGTTTCGCTTCAGTTGTTGCTTAGTGTTCCACTTATTTCTCTGTAATATACTATTATTTTTTAGTTGACGTTCCTTCCACTATAATCTATATACAGATATTATACAACAATTCTTGGGGTTAGTTAGTTGGAGTAGGTAGTTCGATGAATATTATTTCTTGATTGGTCATTACTCATTAGATATAATTAAAACTCATTTATTTCTTCGTACCAGTGTTATGCTAATTTTTATGAGAGAGAAAATGTTGTTGTATATATTGAGATATTTTAAAAAGGTTAATTTATTTGTGAAATTATTTTAAATTTAAAATAATTATTTTAATTAATATTAATTTCAATGAGATATTATAACCATAGTTTTAAAAACCGGACCGGTCATCGAACCGGTTAAGGTACTGGGTCAGTGGGTCAAAGGTTGAACCGGTGGGTCACTAGTTGAACCGCATGACTCGATTTTTATTTATTTTTATTAAAAAAATATTCATATTAAATATATTTTATACTTATAAATTTTAATAAATTCATATCTTATTTTAAATTTCAATTTTTCTATCTTATTTAAAATTATTTTTATTTTTATTTTGTAAAAAAATACATAAAAAAATTACATGTTAAACGGTATATTAATACAAATTAAAAATATAAATAATATGTACATATATAATATACTTGCAATTAATATCACAAAATAATATATGTAATATTTACATAGATATTGCATTATTAAATATATAATTTAAAATTAATAATATACTATAAAAGTTATTTAAGTTGTATATATTGCAAACAAATATATTAGAACAAGTAGTCATTGTTATATTTAATAAGACTCCTTGCTTTTTCATTAAGAGATTCAATTTTCATTATTATTTTTGTGATTTATGGTCCCTTAAAAAAATTTAAAAAAAAAAAAAAAGTGGTTGAACCGGTTTGACCCACCGGTTCACCGGTTGAACCGGAAAATTGACCGGTTCAATCCGGTTTGAAACGGGTCGACTGCATAACCGATCCAACTTCAGATTCGGACCGGCTGGACCACCGGTTCCCGGTCCAACCGGTCCGACCGGCCGGGTCGGTCCGGGTTTTAAAACACTGATTATAACTTAATCATTATAGTTTTAATTAATTTTAATTATCAAACACTTTAAAAATTAATTAATTTTAATTATTAAATATTTTAAAAATTAATTAATTTTAATTATTATGATTAATTATAATACATCCGTCAATATCATCTTTTATAAATAGTGTCCTTATCCATTATTTCCATTTAAACAAGAATCTTAGGATATGTTTAAGATTTTAAACAAGAAAACAACATTTTTATTTTTAAATGCAAGTGTATAAATCTATGCAAACAAGTAAAATATTAAGACAATAAATTTATAAAAACAATACTACCACGCAACGTGACTGCCACAACCTTCCTTAACCTACGTTAAATCTTGAAGTATCTTTTCTTGTGTAAAACTGCTCTTGGCTAGAAAGACACTCACGCCGAACTTATTCAGACAGCATAATAAATAACCAAGTATGTACAAACATTCAAGGCCAAGGAAAGCCGTCCGTTATAAACAACATATTTCATAGTTATCTCACATGAACATGCAACGTACCAACATTCGTCTTAGGAAATCTCAAATGACTGCTGTTTCAACACGTAATTGTCGCCGCATTATATCTAAACACTCACTAGTCACTACACCACACTATATCTAAATGGATAACGCAGAAAGTTTGAACAACATGCCTATCCAAGGCATCATCAAACTGAACGAGGAAACATTAGAAAGGGTCATGTACAAAGAAACAGAAGTGGAAGGGGACGACAGAGTTATTCTGGAAGCTGCAAAAGCAGAACTAGCCAAGGTAAAGGAAGAGATCAATAGAGCTAGAGAGAGTTCCATGCAATCCTGGCTTGACTCCGAGCCTCTCATAGATGAACTTGAAAAGAAGAAATCCAATCTTGCCAATGCTCAACAAAGTTCAAATGCATCAAATTCCATTGCAGAGTTGGAATCCCTGCTAGAGATCATCCACAAGAACATCAAAGACAAAAGAGACAACCAACTCGAGACAGAATCGATGATCAACAGAATCCAACAAGATTTGGATCAAACACGCAGTGACATGGAAAGACTCGAACTTGAGAAAACAAAAGAAAAGCAAACACTAGCAAAATTGAGGCAAACCCTGCATCTAAGGAAGCTGACAGGTCAAACCTTGCAGCTCACTCTTCAAGCTGTACTTCTGGAATCAGATGCTGTGGAAGAATCTTCTGCCAAAGCTCTTCAACAGATCAAGCTTTCAGAAAATTACAGAGATGCTGTCCAGCTTACTCATGAAAAGTACCATGTCCTAACAAGAAGAGCCAGAGAAAAGATTTCACAGGCAAATTCACGTGTTTCTGTTTCAATGGAGCAAAAACTTGCAGCTGAGGCTACGCGTGAGTTGGCCTTATCAAGATTGAACAAGATTTACTCCAGTGATTCATGGAGTATGAACAAGAGAAACATAATGGGGCAACGGTACACAGATAGGAATGCAAGCAGTCAAGACACGATTGTTGAAGAGGAAGTGGCAGCTAAAATAAAAAGTGCTTCGCCCAAATCCTCTGCTGAAGAATCATTACCCAAGTCCAAACGGGGAAAACTACAACAGTCCAGAAAATCAGGCACCAATATGAAAGCCAAAAAGGAAAAGTCGTCCATTTTGCATAAAATGAGACACTGTTTTTATTGAAGTAAAGGAAATCAGGTGGAAAACTCCAAATGAATCATTAAAGAAACAATCGTGTTGCAGACAGCAGGATGCAGTGTTTAAATTTTAATAAAACTTGTATCAATTAAATTCACATAAACAAAAGTTTAAGTTTTACTGATTTGTTCTGTCTTGACTGACTTACTGTTAGAAATACTTCTGATTGACCAAATACCATTGGAGAATAAAAGCAAAGAAAAACAAGACAAACGAGTTGTGAAGTCTCATTCCATGATATGTCTCAATCTGCCTATCTCTTTTACAAAAAATCACCGGTTAACGGTTGATGCTCAAAGAGTTTGACAGGAGAAAAAAGTATGATGATATGAATAGCTCTATCACAACTTCACAATCTAGAAAGCATAAATTCAAAAACATACACTATATCTGATATTTTGACCAAGAAAAATCAGACATTGTTGACTATGTATGTAATTGACATGGCCCCCACAAATATCTGACTTTTCAGCCACAAGCACCATTACTGCAAGAGCTCTATTTGAACATTTTAGAATAAGCTTTTTTCTCTTGATCACGTCTATCAGCAACCTGTATCAAAAAAAAAAAAAAGCAATCAGAAAAATTATTTTGTCATGATGAAATAAATGGCTGGAAAATGATAGAAGAGAACAGAAGACAAAATGACTAACCTTCCTCCTGGCAGTGGCATACTCTTTTTTAATCCCTCCTGAAGAACAGAGCAGTAAGTGGGTTAAGCTTAAGAAATATCATTGGTTAACTTTTCAACACCAATAAAATTTAAACATCAAAGAGTCATGGTCTAATGATTAATAGGATATCTATATACCTACTTCTGTTTCAAACTGTAAAACACCATGGATAATCATATTTTTTTTAAAAGCTAACATTAAACATTAATTCATTCACACCAATAAGATATTGTTACTTTCCTTTCAAGAGGTTTCAGAATTCAGACTCATGTTATTGCAGAAAGCATGTGATTTGGAGGATTCATTTGTCAAACAGGACAACTTTATAATACTAAAAACTAGAAGGGATTAAAGACGAGCGTCATGAAATGGAAAGAGAATTTTCTTAGCCAGAATATAAGTTACACCATGGTGTCATTTCAGCATTTTGTCTATCATGGACTACTTCAGCCCAGGTAAGACAAGAACCCAGGACGTTCACTCCTCAACAACACCTTCCCCCATTAAGAAAAAGATAGCCATTTATTAAAGAAAAGTAATTTCTAAAAGCATGCATGACATGAATGCAAGCCATGAATGAAATAAAAACTTAGAATTAAAATAGCCAAATACCATCATTCGGCTCCAACTCCAATGCTTTCTTGAAGCTTTCAACAGCAGAATCTAGGTCGTTGAGAAACATATATGCCTGAGATTAAGAAGACCAAAACATAAACAACAAATTACCAGATAAGATACATGACAATGGTAGCATAAAAATTAGAATTTTAGGAAGTGGGAAGCACTATCCTAAATTCAAAGGCACAAACACAATGATATTACAACAGCTATCCAGTATCAAGCACTTTCATCATTATCCTACTTTCTTCATCGAAAGATGCTAACCTGGCCTTTGCGAAACAGAGCTTTTGCATTATCTCCATCATGCATTGCAAAGTCTGAATCCAGTAAGGCTCCTTGTAGATCGCCTAATTTCAATTTACAAGCCTAAAAATTCAAACAACAGTATTCGGGTCATTAGATACCTGATCAAAGAAACTGAAGAATGTAAGTATATGCATGGTTGTCAATCTCTAGTGACAACTCGTAAACTCGTACGAGTTTACGAGTTTACAAGAGCTTACCTGTACAACTCGGAGGTAAACTCGTTTTTTAGTGAACTCGGAGCAATCTCGGTAAACTCGGGTAAACTCGTGTAAACTCGCGAGACTACCTCCGATATTAAGAGTTCACCATTTTTTTTTTTCACTTACACAAAACGCACTTTTTGTGTTGTGGGTTAGGGCACTTTGTCTCCTTTTCTCCTCTAACCTCCGCAGCGCCTCTTTCACGACTCTTTTCTCTTCTCCACGCCTCACCTCAGCTCCTGACCTCCGTTCCTCACCTCCGCGCCTCAACCACCTCCTCTGCGCGACACCACCTCCGCGCGCGACACCTCCTCTGCGCGACACACCTCCGCGCGCGACACACCTCCACGCGCGACACACCTCCTCTGCGTGCGACACACCTCCTCCGCGCACACCACCTCCGCGCGCAACACCTCCTCCGCGCGACACCACCGCTCCTCACCTCCGTTCCTCCGCGCGCCTCGCCACCGCGAGCGCAACACCTCCTCCGCGCCGCACCACTGCTCCTCACCTCCGTTACTCATGTGATGTCTTAGTTTTTTATTTGTCTATTTTTAAGAACTTGTGTTTTGTCATTTGTGTGAACTTTTGATCTTAAATTTGTGTTAAGAACATTTATTATTAATGTAATTTGCTATTTGGGAGTTAAAATATTCAATTATTATGTTATTTTTATTTATTTATTTATTATTGAGTAATCTCTTACGAGTTTACGAGACGAGTTTACGATACGAGTTTACGGAGCCTCCACGAGATTACGTAAACTCTCGAGATTGACAACCTTGAGTATATGACATGACATATAACACAAAAGTCCTCCAAATTGATTTTATCCCACCCAGTCATAGGAGGACAATAATTAAAACAGTTTAATGGTCATATCTCGCATCTCCATTCCCGTTATCATCCCCACTCTAAACCTGGCCATGAGCATAAGTTTTCAAGTAGAACTCATGCAAGCCATAATAAAAATGACCATTCACAACGTGGTGGCCTGATGCTGAAGTTCACAATCAATCATCATGTCAGCTTGTTATAAAGGAACCTACATCATGAACGATTCTCTAAAAGATGTATAATCACCCAAATCCTAGAGAAATAAAATTACAACCATTCCGGGCCTCTACCTATACAATTCAAGCTCCTTGACAATAAATAACAATGTTTAGCCTTAGTAACACATGGCAAAAGTATTGGTTACTCACAGAACTGTTGGTAAAGATTTGAGATTTCGTCTTCCTCAAAGCAGCACTCTTCTCTGCTAACTCAAAAAGTAAAACCAGAAGATATGAGATAGTAAATAAGAAGCAAAGCAGTAAGAAATAAAGATAGAAAGTAAAGAGGTTGACCTTGGTCAATGTCGTCCTTCTCCCAACAAACATCCAAATAGCGCAACGCTTTGCGATACTTTCTGAGAGCCATCTTATAATCTTGCTTCTGTTTCATAGAAAACAGACAAACAAATAAGAGTAAAACACACCCTACAATACCATATATGACAAAAATTACAAGCTTAATAAAAATGAGTGTAATTATCTTATCTTTTTAATCTTTATAATTTCATAAATTTTATCTTTTAATCTTTATAAATAAATAAAAATATTACATTTTAATCTTTTTTAGTTCGAGTATTTTATTTGAGATAAAGTTTATGAAATTAAATTATTAAAAATAAAAAAGAATTATATATATATATAAAAACTAAACAAAATATTTTTAATTAAATTAAATATATTTTTATTCTCTCAAATTTATCTGATAAATGTTGTCCACAAATTTAAAATTGATACTTTTTAGTGTCTAAAGTTTCAAAAATTCTTATTTTATTCTCTTGGGATCACGCGTCAACATAACTGTTTGAGATGATTTTGTGATAAATTTGGTAATTTACCTATATACTAAAAACATATTTAAAGTTTCTTAAGCCAATAGGCAAAAGGGTAATTAAACAAATAAAAATAAAAAAAGGTTGAACCTTATACTGTTCATTTCCGAGGGCTTTGATGGCGTCGACAGCACTCATCCACCAAGAAAGTTCATCGGGTTTGACATCAAGATCCATGGGCCAATCAGGATAGGTGTCACCATCCTTAAAGAAGTTAACAACGCCATCGTCCTCCCCTTCGGGAATTTCGCCGCAATCCACAACGAGGACGTCTTGAATAGGACGGTCGTTATCTCCCGTAACGACGTGTTCGACGGAGCGAACGACGCCCATGCCCTTGAGGACTCTCCCGAAGACGACGTGCTTGCCGTCGAGGTGAGGCGTGCGCGTGGTGGTGATAAAGAACTGGGAGGAGTTGGTGTTGGGGCCCGCATTGGCCATGGAGAGCATGCCCTTGCGCTCGTGCTTCAGGTCGAGGCTCTCGTCGTCGAAGGCGGGGCCGTAGATGGACTCGCCGCCGGTGCCGTCGCCGGCGGTGATGTCGCCGCCCTGGATCATGAAGCCCTTGATGACGCGGTGGAAGCGGACGCCCTTGAAGTGGAGGGGGACGGCGGAGGTGGCGGAGAGGCCCTTTTCGCCGGTGCAGAGGGCGCGGAAATTCTCTGCTGTCTTGGGGACGACGTCGCGGAAGAGCTCGACGAAGATCCTGCCTTCGAGGTCGCCGGCGATGGAGACGTCGAGGAAGCACTTTGGGTTTGCCATTTGGGGAAGGCGAAGAGAAGAGAGAAGGAGAGTTGAGTGCGAAACCCTAATCCCGCTTTTTAATTTCAAACAAACTCCTTTGCGACAAAACTTCTACGGTTACCCACCACACGTGTCACTCACTAATCCCGCCAATAAATGATGCTCTCGCTCAACTTAACAAATCATGCTCACTGTTCTAAACTCTTCCACTCCCAAATTCAGTTCAGTAGGTAGTATAATTCCTTATGTATTGTGTTCCACCAAATCAATAATTCACTACCTGTTTGTATTCTTCTGTTTTAATAATTAATTATTAATTCTGAGTTTAACGATGAGAAAAATACTAGCTGATGCTGGAACCTAATATGATTATCAATTTGTTCTAATCAATTTTTAAATTCTAACTTAGTTTTACATTAGTAAGAACTCGATAATTTATTCATTAAATAAGATTTTAGCTTATTTAAATCATATGATTTCATCAATGGAAATTAAGTTTCATGATCACAAATTAATTTTTTAATAATAACTTCAATTAGATTTGATAGATTTAGAGGAAAGAAATAATAACTTAAAAGGTTAACAATTTTTTTTAATTATGAGTTATTTAAGGGATGTTTAAAATAATTTTTACAAAATTTATTTAATATTATAAAAATAACCTCTAATTTAATAAAATTTTAAATTTATTTTAATCAAATTTATATAAAATTGTCAGATATTTTTATATATTATTCTTTTAATCAATTCCTTATATATTAAACATAAATAACTATATTATATAAGAATATTTTTAAGGATTTTCTTTCAACAAAAAAGTTTTTAAAGATTTTTTAATTTTTATTTAATTTAATTTTTTGTTTATCATATTATTTATGAATTAATTGTTAATATTTTAAAATAAATTATTAATAAATAAAAATAATTTTATTCTACAATATAAATTATTTATCATAAGTACAAGTATAATTTATATGTTCAAAAATTATATTTGTATAAATTTAAAATATAATTTATAAATTCAAATATAATATTTATTTTTATATAATTTATTATAAATTATAATTATATAATAATATTTAACTTGTACATTACACGAACTAAAATGTTAATAAATATTTAATTTAAATGTTTATCAAAACATATCTTTCAGTTATAAAATAAAAACACAATATATACTAATTATATAAAAAAAATTGCATGGACATTTAATTACAAATTATCATATATATAATAAATTTATTATCTCATATCTCGTATAATTATAATTCGAAAATTCATATCAGAATTAATTTCTAATTAATTAGTAACATGTAACTTTTTACATATTTTTTTATATAATATTTTATATTAATAGTGTATATCCGTATAAAATAAATTAATATTTCCTTATAAAAAAAATAAAGGGGATATTTTAAACTCAAATTTTCCTATCTAGAGATTTGTCAGATTTTCTGTGGACTGTGGCCACTCCACTGACCAGCATAGCTGTTCCATGAGTCTAAGTCTGATTGAGTGAATAGGAACAGACTTATCTTAGAACCATTGAATGCAATCAATGACATAACATATTATCTACTGTACTAACTACTTGCTTTAAATGTTATCAAAAACATAATTATTTGCTTTAAAATGGGTGATATATAGGATCCATCATTTCATTTTCATGTTTCATCAACTGTCCTTTTATTTCAGACTTTTTAAAAATAAAAAAAAAATAGTTCTTATCTCTGTTTATATTAGAACTAAAATTAGAATGAATAATTTTTTTTATCAGAATTAGTTTTGATGTTTTAATGCAAAAATTATTATTATTTTTATTTCATTCTAATAAATATATAAAATACCTAAAAATTACAGAAAATCATATAGCTAAAATACTGTTAATTAATATCATTTTAAAATTTAAATAAATGTATTTTCCAATAAAAAGATTATTTTTAACTTTTTATTATGTGTCTTTAGATATACAATAAAAACTTCTTTAAAAATTTCATTTAAAAATACTTGTTAACAGAATTATTTTAAATAATTAAATTTAAAAAGGATAGTTTATGTTAAAAAATGATATATTATACTAAGTTTAGAATAATTTATTTTAGGTTTAAATTTTTTTCATAATATAATATATCATTTTTTTTTCGTTTTGGTTTCTTTTACTTTTTATCTCTATTATTTTTCTTTTTGTTTCAACTTTTGTTGTCAAGATTTTTTGTCAAGTAAGTACATGTCAACGATTGGAATAAGTTTAATAGGATCATGTGGAGGAGGGTTAGTGTTGATTAAATGAGAGGGACTTGTATCAATACTAGGAAGTAACTCAAACGATGAATCATAAGAAAATACTCTCAATTCACAAAATGTTGAAACTTAGATAATGAAGATAACAAGGTATGTTCCCAATAGATAACAAGGCTTGTTTGAAATGGAATGCCAACAACAATATTCTTTTTGTTGAATGCCATTACCAAGAAAACGCAAGCCAAAATGAGGTTCTAATTTGTGTGCTCATGAGGTTGTAAAAGAATAAAATAAGCACACTCAAAGAGTTATTAAGAGGTTTACCAAACACTTTTTCAAAAGGAGACAAATTTTGAAGAACCAAGGTGGGAAGATGATTGATAGTGTAGACAACATTAAGAACAACTTTCCCCAAAAATATTTCTAGATATGAGGTAGATAAGAGAAGAGCATGGATAAAGTCAAGGATATGACCATGTTTTCATTCAACTTGGCCATTCTATTAAGAGGTGCAAGGATAAGAACATTGATCAATAGTACCTTTTGTGACAATGTTGATTTCGTGTAATTTCTTTACCAATGTTATTCTCTTCCAAATCAAGAAGTGATGAGAACTTCTTTCTAGGACCATATCTTTTGTGACATTGAGTTAATTGAATGTGTCTTGAGCAATTATTACAACAATGAATAAGTTGTCTCCAAACCTTAAAAGTCATTTGTTTCATGTAGATCAATTGCTTCTAATTCTTGTGATATGGAGGACAAGGTTCTTATCTAGCAAAGAAAGATGTGTTACAGTTGAAGCGAGACTCAAGCTGGGATCGACAATTTTCTAGTACCATGTGTAGCAAAACCCAATAGTGACTGAAAATATGAAATTTCGATGATGAATGTGTTGAGGAGTCAATCTTTAGAGAGCAAATGACCATAATTGGTACCTGGAGAGATTGTTGCTTACGGCGTGATCATCCTTGAGAGTATAGGCATTGGGTTGTGATAGCAACTTTCATATAGTCAATCGAGCAACCTCGATAGAGTATGAACAATCATCAATTGGTGGGAGCCTACTATTGTACTATGGTGCTAGGTGTACTCCCAATAGTCATCTAATCTAAACTTGTGTAAGACCATTGAGTTCGTGGAGTTCTAGTGGCAACTAACCAGCAGAAAAGAATTTAGTGGTTTTGTAATGAAAATGCGTGGAAATCCAGAGTGAATCAACTAAATTGTTAGCTTGTGTGTAAGACTTTGATTAAAGTCATTGTTTGCTTGACGAAGTAAGGAGACTCACATTTATATTTTATTTTCAGGATCAGATGGCAATACCGATAAGGGGTGACAAAACAGGTCAACCTGACCTATTTAGACTCGACCCTCCAGATCAATTCAAGCTCCTAAAATTGAAAATGCATACTGTATATTTGCTCAACAAATATAGATTACAAACTTACAAATCACAACTTACAAGCAAATCAAATACAAATTAGAAATTACTAATAGTCCTTCACAAATCAAGCACAAACACAATTACTCTTTAACATCTACTCCAAGAACATTAGATTTTTCCTTGGAAGAAGTTGTCTCCACTATTCCATCTTTGACTTTGTCATCCTCCTCCTAATCTTCTACATCAAATTAAATTAAAGATAAGAAAATTTTCAAAATGAGAAAGTTAAAATGGATATCAATTTATATAAATAATTATATTTAGAAATTAGAATTAGATTAAATGAATTACCTTCATTAAAACCATACTTCCAACTAGAAACACAAATAATTGCTTCCACAAATATTTGTGTTTTAGGCATTTGGCTGCAACCCCTCTCTTGGTCTTGGGCCAATACTAAATGCAAGGTTTGGGCAGCCCAATACAAGGAGACTCCCATTATACAAAAAAAAAAGTTGGTGGGCTAATGGGTCAGCTTGCCCTGCCTTGCCATTTGGTCCGACAGGCTAGGCAAGGCGGACCAAGCGGGCTGGTGGGCCACAATGCTTAACCCAACCCCCTATTTTTTGGTCAGCCCATAGACCGTGGCACATTTTTCCATCCCTAATACCAATGGACATCATAGGGATATTTCTTCTTTACCTTCGTCATCATTGTATTTATTTCTTTTCTTCAAAGGTCTAGTTTGACATGCACGATTTGGTTTAGAGATGTTTGCTTTGAGTTTAGGACCCTTTTCTTCATGTATTTGATTTGGATAGACCTAGGCTTTAGAACTTTTGGCATATGTATATGCAACCATCTTGCCTTTTACTATATTTTTTGGTTACACTTAGGGGTTGTACATATCACTTAGCTTAGGAAGAATAATTGTATTATGACACTCTGTATTTTATGAATATGTATAGGTGTTGTAATAAAAATATTTCATTTATCTTGTCTTAATCTCTTTTTTTAAACAAATTCTTGAAAACAAGATGTTACATTTTCCTTTTTGAAATTTTAAAACAAAATGCTTCATTTAAGCAATCAAAAGACTTTGACTTTGTAGATCCTAACAGACCACAACAAATTAAATGATGAATGTACCTAGTTGAGACATAACCAAGTGAAATAGGTCATTGGTAAATTGTAGAAGGGATAATAGTAGCATAAGCACATTGTTGAGAAAGATGCAAAGATTGATGCTCAAATAGCTGACACACCTTGAAACCCCTCCCATGACTTTGTTTTGTTTGAGGATTTTGTACTTGTACACCAAAAGGAGAAAAGAGAACATTTAGTCCCTTTTCACATAGATGAGCAACAAAGATAGGATTGAATGTGAAGTTGGAAATGTAATACATGTTAGGGAGATTGAGATTTGAGGTAGATACATGGGTAGTATGAGTGATGTTTATTTTAGTAGCATTTGTTGTGTGGATTGGTAGAAGGGAAGAAACAGCTGTTGTAGAAGGCAAGGAAGAAACAAGTATTGTAAAAGGCAAAAATGTAATATTTGTAGTTATATGGTTACAACATGCATAATCAAATATCCAATGAGAATTACCTAAAGTAGTAGGCATGGCAATAAAGGTATTGGAAGAGATAAAATGTTTGAGTAAAGCCTCAAGATCACTCATAGTGATGACAATATATCTCTCAGTGGCAACACTAGTGATGGAGGAGAATCCAACCTTTGGGACAATCTTGGATTTTGAGTATTGTCCATCTTTTGCTCTTGAAGGGCGTGTGGGACAATGTTCAAGGATGTAGTGTAAGCCATGACAATATTTGCATCCAGCTGTAGGATAGATAGAAAAAATATGACCACTTGACTACAATATATGCAAAATTGAATTTTGTTCTTTGGATGTGGGGGTGAGGTTGTTGCAAGAGTTGTATCAAGATGAGGAGTTTTATCCATATCAAGTTGAGTTTCTTCAAAAATAATTTATTGAATACTTTTTTAGTTCTTATAGTTTCATTTAATTTACCTTTTAATCTCTATATTTTCATTTACTTTACCTTTTAATCTTTATAACTTAAAATAGACATTTTTAGCTCCTATATTTTATTTTTTTAATCCATTTTAGTCATTATTGTTAATTTCTTTGTAATGTCATTTTCGTGTGAGTGACATAAGTTTATTAAATCCATGTGGTGTTGATATATTTAATTTTGTAAATGATGATGTGTCACTTAATAGTTTAGAAAGAAAAAAAAAATGAGGAGTATTTGGCCTTCTCTTTTTGTCAAACATGCTCTTGAAGCAAATGGAAAAAAATCTTATTATTGTCTTTCTCGTAGTGGAATATGATGGGTTGGGCCAGAATTCTTGTGTGAAGGATGTATTATTGTTGTGGCCTTCTTGTGAATAATGAGTATCTTAACAATGAATGTGCATATGAAGGTAAAATAAGAGACACGAAACATATAAAAATCTAATTTAAGCAAAATAATTTCAACATAAAAAACATAGAGTTAAAGACTTCTATCACATTAACAAAAACAGATAATATTATAAAGAAATTAATTGGAAGGATAAAATAATATAAATATATGAACTAAAAACTTTATTTTAAATTATAAAATTTTAAAAATAAAGTAAGTGAAAGTATAAAGAGAAAAAAAATATTTTAAACCTTTTCCAATTAACCAAACACCCCTTAAAACCAGGCCGATTGCGAGAGTTAGCCATTTAAGGATAAGATCAAAATCCAGTAAAGTTCGAGAGTGATCAGTTCAGAATTTATTCTGCAAAATGCAAATGCTTCTGAATAAGGTAACCTTGAAACTGAAATAATATTAATTATTGCATGGAGAAAGTGTCACATTTATTTTTATTTTCCAGAAAAATAAAAAAAGTTTCCAAACTTCTAGTTGTTTTACAAACTTAGGATGATTCTTGATATATGAAGTCTACAATAATTCCTCTTCTATCTATAATGCATTCACACGTATCTGTATTTGATAAAGGATTGAAACACATGCAAATAGGTTTCTAGTTGACCACCCTGCAGTTTTTCCTTATCTCCCCGAATTGTCCTGTAAGTACACCTATGAGGCTCATTTTCTCAAGAGACGCATCAAAGTCCTTGTAAAAGCATAACTCACCACTTGGCCTCTTGCTATACTTGATCACCAATGAAGCAGTTATGTTATGACTCATAAGTGCCTCATCTGTGTGAAGTAGCCCTAATTTATTCACAATGTTTTTGTAATACGTGTTGTCAAACAAGTTTGTAGTGATTGCATCCAATGGAGCCAAATTGCTGTCAGAACTATTATCTGGACATAGTCTCTGTAAATTCTGTAAAAGTGAAGGATCTAGTGATGGATCGGGTTTGCCAGTGCCACTAAAGTTGAAGAGCCTTTGCTTGAATGTAGAGCAATGAGCAAAGCCTATGGTGTGAGCTCCTGAATTCATCACATACACATGACATAACGTGAGTTCTGTACACTTGATCTCATAAAAAAAATATTGTAAAAATTTTAAAAATATTACTGCATCATTTTCTACATTAATTGTTAAATAACCAACATAGAATTGTGACATTGCATAATATTTTTCCTCTAGTGAGCTAGCAAGTACATAACAAACAACTAAGGCCTCATCATACATATTTTATTTGCTTTGAACAAAATTATGTTTCGCTTTTCCCATGCAACAATGATATATTAATATAGGAACGCTTCAACAATATAAAGACTCGATTAACACCTCTTATTTCTCTCTTTCTCCCATTATATCACATATCACTATTCCCTCTCTCATGGTGAAAACTATAGCACATGGTGTCCCCAAAATATGATTCTCTCATTCAAGTTTGAGAGGGGGAAATTAAGGACAGGACAAGGCTCTGGCACAATCTATTGCTTTACAAGATATTATTGTACCATGATCTGACAGCAGCTGCATGAATGCCGAACCCTCCTTGGAACAAAGCTGTTGTACCATGTATCCATTTAAATCTAATGGTACATCAATTAATATCTACATTTCGTGAGGTTTGCTATTGTACAATTTTTGGAAAATAGAAATACATGAAGTGGTTAATATTAGACAAAACGTACCAATATTAATAACTTCTTAATGCAGTGAAGTACCAAATATACTTACCCTACTCTTCGTGGTAATTAAATCGAAGTCACCTGTGAAATTGATAACTACTAAATTATGAAAACTGATAAGTGAAGGAAGAAAACCTGAGAGCACTACTAAATCCTTAATGTCAAGACCCTTGGAAATGAACTTGTTGGTATTGTTTTGAAGGGTGTCAAAGGGTGAAGGCAACTCACTAGCCTCGTTAAAGCTTGCTGTTGTGCCATCTCTACGACCAAGAAGTGCTGGCTGCCAATATGGTCCTATACTCTGACAGAATTACACACGTATAAATATCTTTGCTTAACAATATTAACACGTTTGAATATAAGATTAGAAGAACTTCTGAGATATTATCTCTTAAAAAATAATAACGTTCTTTGGTAAAGAAATTTTCAAAAACTCTTATAAGTTTATATCCACTAAACATATTCTATGTTGTGTACTTTAGACCTTAATTAATTATAATGCTGATTATTATTAATAACAAGGTAAAGGGGTAAATTTCTTACAAGATTAACAGCTTCTCTCGCTACTAGAGCTAGTATATCAGCACATGACACGGTGGATGGACATTCACGCTCTATTTTATACTTGATTACGTCAATGACCTCAAATCCTCTGATTGAATTTCGATTAGGCACTGCAGTTTTCTCCCCTGTAAAATTGCCGGTATCATCAAGTAGAACGGATCCATCACATCCCTGTGGTAACAAAAATTGAAAGAAAGAAAGAAGTAAACAGAAACTCATGCCATTAGTCTTATTATAAAATTTGATCAAAGGATACTGTGTTGTACATGGCGCACATACATACGTATATGGAAGTAATAATTGACCAAGGTCAAACAAGGACTTAAATAAAATAAGGTAGGTTAATTATTTTACATTGGCAAAACAATCATGGAAATGAAGGCGCAAGAGAGAAGCTGCAATTCTTGGTTCTTGGAACATAGCTAAAACGAGTGTGCTTCGAACAACATGTGTGAGGGTTGGACAAGTTGCCAAATAGAAGTCATAACTTAGTTGGCAGCGTACTAGAGGACAAAGGAGTATTAGCAAAATGAAGGGAACAGAAGAATGCTTATTGGAAATGCACTCCATAATATGAGTTGAAAATTTGAAAGCCAAATTAAAAGGTAACAATTGCTGTGAGATAATACGTTGTAAAATGAAGGGTTTTATAGAAGAAAAAAGGCACCAGTTTCTTTTGCTTTTGTAGAGGGTGCTAGAGCTACTATTCAATATATCACTTGCATTTGGTTAGTCCACATTTTCGTTAGGTGATGTGTATAATGATATACTTCTAATTTTTATTTTTTTGGTTATAATATCTTTTTTAATGCAAAATTCTTTGTGAATTGGACATCGGAGATCGAGATTGAAGGCTCTATGAATATTAGGGTATTTATAGATTATCTATCAACAAAACCTTCATATTACCTTTATCTTTTAGTTTCTATATAGTTTAAAATCTACAGTTTTATTCTTTATATTAATATTTTTTAGTCACTATATTTTAATATAGATCTTTTAATTTTAATTTATATACTTGTAAGTATCTTTTGTTAATGTGATCAGAAATATTAATTCAATTTTATGTGTCTTATTTTATAAAATTATTCTAAATCAAGTCTCTCGACGTATAATATCTCTTTTGTAATCTAATTTATGATGAGACACATTTTTTTCATTCTCACAAAATTTATCATTTCACAATATTAACACAAAATAAACAACGTTATAAAAAATAATTAACGATAAAAAATTAATTTTTTTTTTGTAAGTATATGAACTAAAAAGATCTATATTAAAATATAATGAATAAATAAAATTGAAAAAGATATATAAAAAGCTTAAAACTGAATATTTTGAATTATAACAATTAAAAAGTAAAGTAAGTAAAAAGTAAAATAAGTAAAATTATAGGAATGGAAAAGAACTTTAACCTATTTTATATTAGTAAAGTAAGATATTTCCTTATCAAAAGGTAAATTAATTTTTCAAAATAGCATATTAACTTAAGAGGTTAACTTATTTTAATAAATGATTTTACATATATATGGACCAGGGGGTTAATCTCATAAAACTTGAGAGGCAGTTATCTATTAACTATGACACAGATAACTATGACACACTTTGTTGGTACATGATATATTTCTAATAATAAAGATTAAGTTACGTTGGGATTTTCTTTATTACTCTATAGATTAGTGTATTTAATTACTAGAGTTATTATGAATTATTAAATAATATTGATAGTAGAAATTAATATTATTATGCTACTTTAATTGTAATATTAATAATATAAAGTGTTTGGTCTTGTATTAAAATGACACATCCATCACACATGTTCTAATAATAGAATTAATTAGGAGTGTGTTTGGATTAAAAATTTAATGAATTTGAAACTTTTAGAATTTGAATTATTTTAATTTTAATTTTTATTATTTTTTAAATATTTTTTTGTTTAGATAAATCATAAATTTTAAAATTTTAATTTGAATACAATGATTTGGTTTCAATCATGGATAAAATTGATTATATATATATATATATATATATTTATTTATTGAGAAAACATTAGTCAATAAATTTTTTTAAATATTCAATTATTAAAATAATTACTAATATTTTTTATGTTAATTTTGGAAGAGAGATGAGGGAGTTGGGGAAAAAAAAAAGGAGAAAAGACAAAATAGAAAGGGGGGAGAGAGAGAGAGGGAATACAGGATAAAGAAAATAGAGGGAAGAAAGAAAAATATGGGGAGAAAAAAAGGAAAGAAAGACAAGGAGAACGGGGGGGGGGGGGGACAAAAAATATAGAGTATAAGAAATAAAATAGAGATAGGCAAAAATATCGGTGAAATAAGAAAGAAAATATACAAAGAATTTTAAATTCTTACCTTTTTTTTTTAAGAATATGAAATTTTATTATTTTAAAGAACTTTACAAATGCTTAGATTTTAAATTTTTTGTAAATTATTTATCCAAACAAATCTTTCACTTCAAGATATTTAAATTTTTTTAAAAAGTTATTCCATTTAAATTTCTCATCCAAATAAATTTATGAGTTAATCACCTATACAATGTCAGTGTAAAGTTTTTTTACACTGACAACCAATTAGATCTTTTAATTGTGTCATGTCACTATAAGTAAATGTGTTTATAGTGACATGACACAATTAAAAAATCTAATTGGTTACTAGTGTAAAAAAACTTTACACTAGCAGTGTATAAGTGATTAACTCTAAATTTATTGACTATAAATGCTACAATTGCATTAATGTGTGGTTGGAATAAGAATTTTATTATTTAATTTTTTTATAACACTTTCCTAAAATATATGTTTGAGTTTAATTTAACTCTACAAAATTAACTTATAAGGTAAGATATATACTCTTTAATTGTTTTATCTTTAGTCGATATAGAACTTGAATTTTTCTAATACACCCCCTCAATTTATAGTGATATTAACTTGATACGTAAATAAATAATGAATGATCATTTTTAATAATTTAGGATAGGCGAGACTCAAACTTTTTTCAATATACTCTCTTACCTTCAACACTATTGAATTAGGTGTAGATATCAATGATAGGTAACTCATTTAAAATAGATCTAAATATTTTTAATATCATCATATAGAATGTGAGTTTGAGTAATTAACTCAACTTTACAAAACTAACTTATAAAATAAGAATTACTTTCAACTTATATACTCTTTAATTATTTTATCCCTCATCGATATAAAACTTATATTTTTCCTCATGAGCTAGGAGAGGTCAAAGCAGAAACCTCTAAATGTGAGTACCATTCAGTTCTATGGACCTATCCTATATTGACTATGTGTTATATATATTCATGTAACAGCTACTAATGCAAGAGATAATTAATAAGCATCGAATTTTGGGCAACAACAAGATCTTGTGAATGAAGAGGTGGAACTTGGGTGTACAAAACAAGCCGATCTAGTTCGAAAACTGGAAAAAAAGAATCGATGAAAAATTTACAGTTTTGTTCAATTTTTTTTTAATTTTCTTAAATCACATGATTTAATTTGATTTACAAATTAAAATGTGAAATCCAAATTGTACTTATATGTAAATATTTTTTTTCTTCTAAAATGTATAATGTATACAATATTAACACATAACATAAAAGATGTTTTTATAAAATTACAAGCTATTACTAAATTGTAAGATGTTAAGTTTTTTTTTTCTTTTCCAAATGTATGTTATAATATATTTGATTTAAAAGGTATTTTTTTATAAAGTTGTTAATTACTAAACTGAATTATAAAATAAGAAATTATGAATCATTTATAATATTTAAAAATAATTTAATTTTAAGTGACAAATTATATATGTGTGTGAAAAAATAGTTAATATGATAACTGAAATTGTATTAAATTTTTTTATTAAAATAATAAGATAAGAATTTGTGTTAAATATATTGGGTGACAATTTTTTTTAATATTTGTATATTTTTAATTTTATTTCTACCTTACACAACTTATAATTGTAACGACCTGTTAGGTCTCACACAGTCTATAATATCAGGGAAAATATTATCATGTATTTTCATTATCATACACAATGCATAAAATAACACATCATAATTAAACAGTTATATACATACTAGGAAATATCAACTAATGTCCCATATACATATATATGACTGATAATGTAATGTAATATTCTATACAAAATGATTGGCAGCCTATAACAAAATTTTCACAACAAAAAGCCTTAGCTCTCCTACTGAGTTTCATCGGAGTCTACTAACCCATCACAACACCACCATTCCTGATCTGCTCGCATACAATGTATGGTCATGGTAGTCCCAATCCACAAGGGAAAACATGTTAGGGTAAGCTCACAACAATAATCATCATAAAATAACATCAACATATAATGAACAACAATAAAATTCAACTTTCAACTTTAAAACAACAACATAGACAACAATAGATATACAACATCAACTAATGCGTCTTCACGCATATACAACTAGGAGATCTACAACAACTAAAATTAAGCAGTCTAGGTGGTATAAATCCTATTGAATCCAGCGTTAGACCTATCTCAACTAGGTCAAGTATAGGGCATCGTTAAGAACTCCGAAGAGAACCAAGTATAGATAACAATAGTTGATTGCTCAGGTGTGTCACTCATACTCGGAGGCCTAGTACTACTATTAGGATAGAAAGGTTTAGGTGTGGGCCTACCACAACCTTGGCTTGCATCACCAATCCACATATAGAGTTAGCCCACCCATTGTCTTCCAAGTACCATGTACCATCCAGTACCTAGTCAAAGACTACATCTTGACTAAATACCTTACTCAAATTGGTCATTCAACCATGACATGGATCGACTACTTCCAAGCCGCCCACACAGTACTAAGAGATTCAACTTTTAAAAAACAACTTTCAACTTATCACCTTAGTACTATGTATCTCAACATAGGACATATATCTTCACCATATGTCCCCAACTTTACAATAATAGACATCTTTATACAACTTTACAACGATAGACATCATAGTATCAATTTGAATAAACAACTTGATCAACTATAGTCATCGTAATATCAACTTTAACGACTTCACAACTATAAACATCATTCATGCAACTTTACAACAATAATCATCAACTTTAAAACAACTTAATGCAATTTTAAATCAGCTTTCATATAGATTTCAAATTAATCAAATTGACAACTAAAATCAACTTACACAACATAAACAACATAAATCAACTTAAGTACCCAAAGCAACTTTCAACTTAACCAAATCACTTATTATGAAACGGCAACCTTCACATAAAATAACACATATGAAATTATACTACTCTTATCATGCCCATCCTTATCTTATATGAAAGATAATAAGATTTCCTACAACTCTCATGAAGATATCGAGTCCTAATCCTATCATCTACCTTGTAAAAAAATGTAAAAACCACAACAATTAGCCTAAATCTTGACAGCTTGACCTTTTCTCATTAAAAAGGTCATAATTAGAGTTCTAGACCTCCTTTTTAGGTGATTCTAGTGCCATTGAAAAGCTAACATCCAACACTACAACTTTTATGAAGGCCACAAAGTCAGATTCAAAAATAACCAAACTGCTCAGAACCTCACAAAGCGCTCAATGCTTTACCTCCAGGGATTTT